AACCCATAAAATCTTATGGGTACCCATAAAAAGTTTTACTGGTTTCTATGGGGCATTTTTAGTAGGGGCTGAGCTTTTAAGTAAAAAAAAGAGTTTTCGAATTAAACGATTACGCGCCCTGTTTATCCTAAAGGATGAAATTAGTTCAGCGGATTATGGTAGGACGGTACTTTCGCAAATCTCAGCCCTGCTTTTTGCGAACTTAACAACAAAGAACTATCGCGCCGAGAGAGAGGCACTTGCAGTTCTGTTAGCAGTGCAAAAGTTCCGAGTCTATTTTGGAAAGGCGCCGATAACAGTGTACTCTGATCATGCGGCGGTAACTAGATTGTACTCAGGGGAAAAACTTATCCCCAAGGTTAATAAGATGGGCACTCAAGCTACAAGAATATAATCTGGTAATCAAGCATACCCCCGGAAAGGAAAATATCGTAGCAGATGCCCTATCACAGAATTAAAATTAGATGAACAAGGTAATACCGTAAAGTGGCAATGCTCACAGCATGTACAATAAATTCCCGAGAAACTGTAATAACCGAACTGGGTAAAGATCCTGAGTTTGGAAGTATTTATGAGTATTTGAAAGGATCCTGAAAATTTTAGCCACCAAGATATTGTGGCGATAAGAAATAGGGCGGCCCATTACGAACTATAGATGGTCTATTATTTTATACAAAAAACTACGAATTCCAACAACGAATTTCGACCTGTTATCCCAGCTAGTCTTAGATTAAATATCCTGCAGGAGCTCCATGACAGCCCTTTAGCTTCTCATGCTGGTATTCGAAAAACTATCCAACGCGTACGCGAGGCAGTCTACTTTTCCTGAACTGCAAAAGTTAACAAGGGCGTATGTCCAGTCCTGCCCAACATGTCAAGCAGTTAATTATATTAATTTCCGCCCGGCCGGGTTTCTAAATAGTATTAAATCCGAATTTCCAAATGAAATAATTGGCATCGATTTATTGGGCCCTTTCCCAAAAAGTCAGTTAAATAAAAGTCGCTATCTCCTTGTTATGGTTGATCATTTTAGTAATGGACCGAAATTGTTCCCTTAAAACGAGCCTCCGCGAAATTAGTTACTGATTCTATTTTAAATAAATATATTTTTAAAATACGGGGCGCCCCTAAAAGTTATATCGGATAATGGTCCTCAATTTGTAAGTAATATTTGAAGACATGTGCCAAAAAACTGGGCATACGTCATTTAAAAATGGTCCCGTATCGGCCGCAATCAAATATAGCGGAACGGGTCAATAGAAATATAGTGAAAATTATCCGTAGTTATGTTAAAAATTTTCATAAAAGCTGGGATAACTATGTCAATGAATTTGCTTTCGCCCTTAGGACCGCAAAACATGATACAACGGGCAAAAACTCCTGCTGAGTTATTTCTAGGCAGAAAGGTTATAACACCGTTAGATAAATATTTTATGTGCAACAAAGAGCCCCAGAATTTAAAATGGGTGATATAGAAAAACTAATAAAAGAAGCAAAAAAAGAATACGGAAGTAGCACAAGAGAAAACAAAAATTGTATTATGACTTGAAACGACGGGGAGTAACTTATAAAGTAGGGGATGAAGTACTAAAAATTAAGCATTCACTTTCTTCAGCACCAGAAGATAAAACTGCCAAATTTTTTTCCACGATTTGAAGGACCATATGTTATAGAAAAAATAACTCACGCTGTAGTAGTGTTAAAAGCCAGAAATGGTGAAACCTGCTCCGCAAACATTGATCAAATCAAACCCTACTATGATCGTAATAAAATGCAAATCTTTTCAAAGATCTTTTGCAGGATCCGGCACGGCAGACACCGCAGGTACAAGCTCCAGAGGTGGAAAAACGACAAGTACAAGGGCAAGCCATTAAGAGGCAGGAAGCAAGTGAAAAGAAAGTTTCCCCCCGCGGAAAAAATTGAAGGTAGCAAGAAAAAGAAGCCGTTCCACCGTCCAGAAAAAAGAGAGTTCACGAACACCCCCAGAATGAAGAAGGGAGAAGGACGACGTATGCAAAGAGAACCAGGAGAAATGACGGCAACTATAACCCGGCTCTAAAACGGAAGATCTACTCATCCGACAGGACTCTCCGCAGCAAATGTCGCCGAACTGCGGAAGGGCCATCAGCGGCGGAGGAAAAGTTACAAGGAAAATTTGAACGGCCAGCAACGAGGTCCAAGCAGGAACACACGAAAGAAGTTTCCCGGTTCCGCCAAGACCAGCTGCCATCAAAACGGCCAAGACCACAGGCAGAGCGAAAAAGAAGGTATTCAAGGGTGACCGAACTGGAGAAAAAAGGAAAGCTTCTAGAGGAAGGCACTGAAGGGCGAGCCCGTACAAGAAGGAGGATAAATCAAACAACTATCTCTGCACTACCTTTAAGGACTGGGCCCAGAAAAGGAATGTCCGAATATCACAAAGATAAGTAAATTTTATGTTACTTTGCAAACTTAAGTTAATCTTTCATTCTTACTGCAAGTGGCAGATTTCAAGAAGTTTTACCTCATGCGAGGTCTACCTTTATCGCCAAAAGGGCGAGAAATGAGTTGTTACCGATTTTGGTATTATGTTTTTCAATTACTCGCGCGTAAACTAAAGTTGATGTATAATAGCGTTGTGTAAAGACTTAATATTGTAAAAAGTTATTGTATAAATTTTATTTAAAACATTCTGGCAAGAAAGAAGTTTTAGTCTGAAAGACTTTTTGAAATGTATTATTTCAATGTAGAAAGAATTGGCACTTGCTTTGAAAAGAATAGAAGTTAACAATGTACTACTAATGTATGTTTTCAAATGTATAAAATTAACGGCATGTTAATATGTTCTTATATACAATGTGAACTGTTATTTTAAATGTTAAGAAATACCGTGATATGGTAAAAGTGAAAGTAATGTTAAAATTTTTTTTTATTCGTGTGACTGTAAAAAGACTAAATCATCATGGTGAATATGTGTTAAAGGTTGAATGATGTAGTTAGGCTCTCTGACGCTACACTTCAGAGTTAGCCACTTTCAGAATAGTACCTCAGGGTTTAGAGTTGAAATTAGGGTGTGTTATGAGGTCTTGGTATGTTGAATTTTAACACGTTAGTGTTTTGATTGTAGGAGGAAGTGTTGAACACATAGACATAAACACATTCGTGTTTGGTTTTTCTTTTACAACACATGTCAGAGAGCACGGGGAGAGATAATTAAAATAGTCATGAATGAAATAAGAATGTTAAGAGAAATATAATTATACATGTTACTTGCCATTTCATTGTGTAACATTTCATTAAACTAGTTTTCCTTCCAGATCTCTGGAAGGAACCAGATTTGAATAAAAGCTCCTGTTTAGATGCAGTACAGATGAAAAAAATTGTGTCCTGGGAGCTGCTATTGTAAAAACAAATTTCTTTCTTTTAAATTTCTAGTTTCTAGCGAGAAATGTTTGTAAAAGATTGGCCTCGCGTTAGATTCTAGAGCTAAAAGTTTTCAACAAGGTCGTTTTAGACCTCAGTTTCAAATTAATTAACTCTGGCGGGAAGTATGTAAGGATCTTAAGTTTTACTAACGTTTTATTTTATTTTAAATCTTTACTATCACTTCTTATTTTCTACTTCCGGCCAGAATTATAAGCGTTAAGTTTTTATGCAAAGTTTGTCTGGCGAACGCCAAGTATTTAAGTTGTGGCTTTTTTGCCAAGCGAGAGAGAGGAAGCAGTTAGTTCGAAGCAGGCCGCTTACCTTAGAAGTTTACTCAGTTGCTGGTTGCCTTCCAGGCCAGAGGTTTTAATCCTCTTGATAATTTTTAAACGTATTGTAGTGTTCACAGTTCTCTGTACTACATACGGCTTCCTGTTATTATAAGGCCAATCTTCCACGTTTATTATTTTAAAGTTAAATTAGAGTTTAGTTTTATTTTTGATATTTTTACGTTAGACCCAAGTAGGAGGGTCTTGTATTCCGAAGTACGGAAGTCATTGTAAATAGAGAAAAATAAAGGGTTTTGTATACCCTTCTTGTGTATCCTGTCTACTTCCCACAATTGTTGAACATAGCTTTAGTAAGCTCTCTGTTCCGAGTCAGGTCCTTGCATGTTCCCGAAGAAGGTTAGACGGAACATTGAACCTGATAATCTTTAAAGACAAATTGAAATTTGTTTTATGCGATTTCTTCAAAATACTTGCAAGAAATTGCAAAAGGTTTTTTTTTTCTTTTAAAATTTAAGACAGCCAGAGGTATACAATAGGTAAATTAAACAAACTTAATAATATAATATGGCAGGATATAATGTAGGCATATAAAGAAAAATATCTCTTAAATATACAATAGGTAAACACAATTATTAAACTAAATCAACTTACTATAATGCGTCAAGATATAATACAGTTAAATAAAGAAAACTATCTATAGATGGCGAAACATCCCGACGGCGAAATGGACACGGCAAAATGGACACGGCGAAATGGACACGACGGAACGGCCACGGCGAATAGCCCTATTCCGTTAGTTTCTATCAAGTCATTATCGAATAATAAATTATACAATCAAACACTTTGGTGCTACTAACCCTTAATGTAACTTAGCCATTTTTTAACTGCTACATAAAGATTAATAAATATGAGAGGTTTCAAAACTTCCCTTTTCTAAAAAGGTGGTTTGGATATTAAAGCAGCAGGTTTTTGCGGTTGAAAATCTCAACACTGTAAAGGAGATGATTGAAAAACGAGCCCTGTACTTCGTTTCCTTTTCTCTTCAAACTGCGAAGTATTTGTTTCATATCCCACTGTCACTGATAGATTTCAAAAAACGTTCCTCAAAAAACTCTGTTGCGCTACATTGGCACGTGAGTAATATGCTATTAAGAGCCTTTCAGCAAATCATATCTTCTTTTCTTAAACAATCTCAACACCCGCCCTATTCCATTTTACTATAATTAAACAGTGTCTGATATTACAAGAAAACTGAAGATTATTAAAATTACATTCCTTAATAAGTACTTAAAAACGAATACTTGCCATGTCAGGATTAGTATTTCTTCCTTGATTTTCTACATATTCATACTCATCTAGTTTTAATTTTAGCAGTCTGAAAGAAATTATAATATTATAAGTATAATTTTCCTCATGTCATTAATTTCTTTCTAGATTCTTTTAATAAATAATTTAACATAAAGTTAATGATGAATTTATAAGAACATTACAAAGTAAAATAAATTAATGGCCTGCTCTGGCTTTTCATTTAATTCAAAGTCATAAGTTTAATTAATCTCAAAAGTAATTATGCGAATGTTACGTAAGAATTATTAGGCTTGGAGAAGCAAAAAACATATGAATGGATTATTCCCTAGCCAAGATTCAACCATGACCTTCGTTTCTTAGCTGCGCATGCTAACCATTTACATTTCGAGAAAGAGCCGGGAGAGAAACGACAGTTTCCAGCAATTAAAATGTAGCTTACTTATAACTAATCAATATAGGAAAATAAGATATATTTTTATTGCTTTCGAATGGCATCTAGCAATTTAACTGTCATTTCATGTTTTAGCCTTGAGTCAGCGGTTTCCGAATATTTTGATTCGCGAAGCCATTTTTAGAATCAATTTCTACGGCAACATCTCCATTAAGCCCACTCTACGTCTTAATAAGTTGAATATTTTTAAGGTAGTTGCTCCCTTCTTTCTGCATCCCTTCGTTTTGTAAATACAAGCACGTATTCGAGAGATTCGGAGTTCAAATCCCGACGATAGCACTGCGGATTTCTTCGATTCCCTTGCTTAAAAATTCCAACAAGTATATAGTGGCGCATGACCTAAACAGGGTGCGGACGATAACTCGTCACCACCAGGATTTGGCTACTGGGTCCGCTAATCTCCAGTCGCTCTTTAAAAGTGGGAGAATATAAGCTATTTTCTCCCTCCTTTCTGCATTTGTGGTGCAAATGGGAGCACACTCGACGCGTGATCGGGAATTTCGGAGTTCAAATTCCGGCGAGCGCATTGAGGTTTTCTTCAGTTTTCTAATTCGAAAAGAAATTCACAAGGACTCTATATAGTGTTTAGGGGCAGTGTTAAAAAGAGGTTAAGGGATAGATAGTAAAGGAATGCAGAGTAAATAGATACCTGAATAATGTAACAATAATTACGGAAATAAAACTACTCTAAAAGTTTTGAAATTTGTAATAATACTTCTGTTTATTCTTAGTGTCAACCAATACTCACGGTTTTGTCGAAATTTTGCCATACGATAAAGCTATTTCAGATTTTCATAAATCAAATCATTTGCGCTACAATATATCGTTCGAGCGAGAAATAGCAAGATAGCAGAAAGGTTAAAAATATTTTAAAATTTCAAAATGCAAATGCTCACATATTTTCAGGAAATATACGAAGATGGTGGAACTAAGGCATTTCGTATTTTAAACGACGGGATTGCATCATGCCCTCGTCTGCAAGGGTGTGATATCGGAGCTAAATGAGTGCTTCTTGAATGCTAAATTTCTTAAGAACTGTGTAGGGACTTATCGCAGATTTCTGATGAATAACAAGTCCAAAGAAGTGTTGAATTTACCCTTTATTCCCACTCAAGTAAATGAAAATACAACCCATTCTCGGACTTGCAATAAGCCCCCACTTGAGCTTTAAGAAGTCAAGATAGAAAATAAGAAAACTAATCTAACTAAATTAAAACCAACCGAAGCTGAGCAGAATTAACTAACAGACTTGGCCCTTAATTAACATCACCAGCGAAATCTAGCAGGCACGTAAAAATGCGACTGAATAGCCGTAAAATAGCTAGCAGCAACTACTAGTTGCTACTGGCTAGCAGTTGAACTAGCAGCAACAACGTGGCCGGAAGACAGACACGCGCTTCTAACTATTCTAAGCTCTTCTGAGCCTCATTTTTGATACCGCCTCTTGCGGTCCACTCTGACTGCCTTTAAGGACTAAGGACCAAGGCGATGGCTTCCGGAGTACCTCTGCTGGATACAGAAATTACCTCCACAACTTCATTAAGAAAGAATGAATTAATCAGAATTAAGCATGGCTAAAGTAAGGAACGAAAACCGTTAAGGGTGTAAAATACAAGAGATCGATAAGGAGTCCACACAAAAGGACAGAAGCTATTTTCAATTGCTTTCTTGTCAGGGCAGGAGTCAATGCTTCCGCCGCGACAATTAAACATTGAAATGGTGTACGCATTTTCTCCGAAGCTCGCCAGGGCAAGTAGAAATAAGCTTTCCAGCAGGTTTGGGTTTCTAACTTCCATAAAGTCTTTTATCGGGGAAAACAGGCGAGGCTTATCCCCAAACGATTACATTTTGACACATTTCGCATTCTATGTAACTTTGTTGCCTCTGCACGTGGCATGTATTTCTGAAGAGGCAAAAATATTAATTGTGTAAATTCTTTCGAATAATTTTATAAATATCAATTTTCTTAATATATTCTGGGAAAAAATATGAATCATAAAAAATTCTTACTTTCGGAAATATATATATGCACCAACAAGAATAGCCAAAACGCAGACTAAAAATACTCCATTCACAATAGTAAGGATAATATAAATTGTCTGTGTACCTATGGAGAATGAATATGAATTAATCAGTTTTCGAAACATGCAGAAAGAATTATTTTATAGAAACAATAATATATTTAGAAAGGATTTAAATATTAAATCAATTATATACAGAGATATTTTGATTATGCATTAAAAAAACGAAAACGCTACGCACACATACGTACAAATACTTGTCATGTATATACAATTTTATCAACAGGATTTAAATTAACGAAATTTGATATTCGCGTGTTGAAAGCTACATGTTTCCAACAAATTCTGCAGCCCCCGGGAGATGCATGGGAGCATACTGCGGTGTGACCTTGACGCGTAAAGTCTTTTCTTCATGATCTGGAAGGCATTTTCATAAATGTGTGGCATTATTTTTGAGTTTTACTATCAAATTAAGTTTCATCTTTCCGACAATATGTCCTTTTAGTCATTTTCTGCAGTAAATTGTAATTGAAATTTGCGACTTTTATTTCTTTTAATTTTATTGGAGCAATTTATTTCTAACTATTTACATGAATGTTTAAGGCAAATAACAAAAATGTTAGTCACTTGGCATTTAATAAGCAACGTATAAACTTAATGTATGATTTTTATGGTGAATAATATCAGAGCAAGAACAAAGGTGTATTTAATTATGGCAAAGCACACTAGGGCTATCTGCCTAAGATGAGGACGAATCTTGAGCCGGTGGGCGCAAGAACAAAGGATGAGGCACGAATCTTCGAGACGGAGCGGAGAATGGAATGAATTATTTTAAGTTACGATTCCATTTTCTGAAATGTCAAATATATGTTCAAATATTCAAATTTCAAATATATGTTCTGATTGAGAGAACAGAAAAGGATTTTTAAACTGGAGTAGTTTGCCTTTTATGGTGAATAAAACCTTCCTTTTCATGAAAAGGTGGCCATCAACTGAGACTATTTAACTTCTGGGGCACTGTAATGTGGTTTAACAAAGAATAAATTTCCCGGTCTTCGGTTGCCTGAGGACACCTTAAAGAAGAAGGAAAACCTAAATGCATTTCTTGTAATGACTCCCACGTAAAATCCTACGGTGGATTAAAAGCTTATCAATAGAAATTTAACAAGAAACTTACAGGTATCACACAGCCGAACCTATTTTAAAATGTAGAGGTTTACCAACTTTAAAATTACAAGAAATCACTCAACCTCAAACTAAAAAAAGACACTGCACGGGTTCCTTATGAAAAACGTTCCGTCAGTTTCCGAAGAAATGCCTGATACTCTTATTTGGCTAAAAGATATAAATACCAGACCTCTACACAAACTAGCAGCAAGCTTTAAAGAAGTTGAAATTGTATTTAAATTTGCAGAACTTGAAACCTAAATCATGAGCTTACTACGAAGCCAATGTAGATCAGCGTTTAAATGTGCAGCCCCAGTTCCTAATCTTTTGGTGGCGGGTTCAAGCCTGGCTCTTGAAGAGACACTTTGAACTTATAATGTGGCATTTTCTTTTTATTTTTTACTAATTATATGTACCAGAAAAATTTCCTGGAGTTTCATATACGCAGCACATTGATAACCCTTAGCGGGTATGGAATATGTAGTAGTAAAGGCTGATAGCCATCAAGGCTGATGGTTACTCAACACGTTTTGAAGTCTGAGCTCCTTGCCGAGAGCGCAATGGATAGTCGAAGCCGAGAGATGTAGCAGGAAAAAAAAAAGAATCATAAGCGAAAACATGCAGAAGCTCAGAAGGTGAAAATAAATGTGTGATAAAGGGCATCCAAATATTCAGCAATCTGTTTGGACGAACGACATTCGCCAAGGATTGTATAGTGTGAACTGCCAGAGCAGAAAGGGAATCCTTTACGTGTACTCCCACATGGATGGACACCACTGACAATTGACCATTAAATGCATGGTGTTGTGGGTTTATTCCTCATGAATTATTTACTCACTACATTGAGCATTTAGGCCTAAGAAACTGTCATTTTAAACAATAGTGTTAATTAGTATCACCGATATGGCAAGAGCATAACTCTTGAGTGTCCTTCCTCAAAATTTAGGAGTATTATTTATTGCTGTTTAAATTTCGCTAGAAAAAGAACGGTAAGCAAAAGTACAAGTTATTTCCATTATAGTAGAAATTGATATCTATTTGGCCTGCAGCGTGAAAAGGAGTAAACGAAAAGAGAAAATAAATGCTGCTTGATTATCTGCGTTTTCAGGTAAAATTGCTATTTCAATTTGTGCAATGCTTTGGACATTTATTGCACTTACATCAAATGTGCGTCATTTAAGGTTCACAATTTAAAGTTTTATTTGTTGTATTAAATTTTTCATATTTAAATCGAAGCTATTATTCTTGTACTTGAAGATCTAAAAATAAATTCTGATTATTAATGAAATTTTTGCTGCAAAACTTTAATTAGCCAGACGCAAAAGATTTTGAAAAAATCGTGGATTTTTTAATTGTATTACAGTTTTCTCAAAAATGCTTAATCTTAGATTAAAAAGCTTGGTATTCAGTAAAATAATGATAAAATTGTTGAACAATATCAGGTACAAATAACTGAAGAGGTGTTATAATGGATGGATATCTGAAAGGATGTAATACTGAAAATGTTTATACCTTCAGATTTACTGTACAATTTCCCAAATTCTGATTGTGCTTAAATAATGAACATAATTGACAATATTACAATATCAAAATTGTAAAATACATTCCCAAAGTCTTACTTTTAAATGAATAATCTGAAGGTGGTTGCGTGGAATTTCCAGAAATCTCTTCAGTAGTTGAAGCTATTTCTTCGACTGTAACTAAAAAAATTGAATAAATCAACATGTAACATGAAAATGTAATTGAATAAATAACATGTAACAAAAACTTATATAACATGAGAATGAAAACATTATACAGCTGACATTTGTGCCGAAACGTAAAAATGAGTTTCTGATACACCTAAATAGAAAATGAAAATCTTTTCAAAATGTTCATGTGTTTTTAGTGTTTTAGGCAAAATGGTTGATAAGGTTCTTATGTTAAATGAATCAGATATTATGATTTTTGATTTTACTTTAGTCCGTCTTTCTACTTCTTTATGCAATAAAATGTAGGTATTTAAGCTAGGACTTGGGACTACTGAGGATTACTCCATTTTTAAGGGAAATCTGCAGAGATGCTTCATTTTGTATTTTCTGCATTCTCTATACTGAAATGCTGGAATTCATATGACTACCATCGATGTTTCCCCTGTCTCACGTGACTGGAGTCTGCCCCCCCCCTCTGCAGCTCCTTTCCTGTCTTCGGACCTACTCAAGCACTCAGCAGATTTTATAAAACTTATATTTAATGTGTGTGTTGATTTCGTGAATCAGACTGACATATGAGTTAATTTCAAATAATACTTCTTCAATTTATTATTAAATGCTGCTACCACTTTTATCTTCTTGCAATTGTTTTACAGAATTTTTCTCTTGATATTTTCTGAAGGTATTTCAACATTTGATTTTGCCTGTTTTGCAAAATTACTTTATTTAAGCAGAATGTTTCATCATTAATAAATGTATCAACAGATAAGACTTCATAAAGCTATTATGATAATTGTATTCTACATTTTCTGCTCATAAGAGTGTCTTGTCAACAAAGTAATCATCTTTTTGTCCAACATTATTCCAATCATCTGATAAAGATCTTGGGAAATGTCGGTTTCGCGCAACTTAAGTGTCTTCTATGCTTTGAAAGTTTTTAAAATTTCAACTGCAATATAAGAGAACAACCCACACCCAAAGGAAAACATAAGCAGTTTCGTGTAGTAAAAAATATAAAAGCAGAATTATTAGCATTATTAACATTAGTGTTAAAGCCTATGTTTATGTATAACGATTGCAACTGATTAATAATATTAAGATACTGATTAATCTACTTAGAACGATTTTGAAGATCTTAGACAAACTTTTCAATGCAGTGCACGAGCGTAAAAGTAAACAGATTTTGCCTAGAAGAATGCGACTTTAAAAGCAACCCGCATGTGCAATAGTGCATTATATAGAATAAATTTTATTGAGCAGCTTGAATCAGTAACATTTGAGATGTTAATATTATGGAACAGAAAACAACTTTTGGCTTCCTTTTAACCACATTGATAACTTTACTATCAGCACTGCCACGATAGCTCCTTGCGTCGCCTTTTTCAGAAGCATTTCCCATTCCACCCTCCTTCCAGCCATTGACTCAAGTTCTTAATTTTTACATTGGCAAAATCCTCATCCAGGCAGTCCTTCCATCTTTTCGTAGGTCTTCCTCACGATCTTCCATAAACAAGAGTTGCATTAAAGGCCTTAAGAACCCTTCTCTCTGCATTTAATCTCAGGAGATGACCTTCCATCTTATTCTACTTAATTTTATGGATTTAATAATAGCCTCATCTGCATAAATTTTGCATAGATCGAAGTTATACCGTTTACTCCATATATTACTGTTCACAACAGCACCAAAAATAGTTCTTAGAACCTTGTAAAGATCGTCAAGGTTCTTTCTTCTCTGATCGTCACAGCCCAGGTCTCTGTCGCATAAGTTAAGACTGATTTCATTAATTCTTTTTATAATAGAATTCTATTCGAGCAAAATTTGTAGTTTAACTGTGATAAAGAGTACGCACATTCCAAAATCCAGTATTTAGGTTCTTTGATTGTTTTTCAGTGAAATTCCGTAAGGCAGTCCGATATTTGCTTAATTAGACTTTACAAAAAGATATGACTTTTAACAGGGTAGATTTGCTTCCCTACGCCCAACCCCCAACCTTGAGGATCCGTTCTCTGACATAATTCCCAGGATCAAGGTACTCTGCTATACCCCGAGCACAGGGTATATTTTAGTCGCCTTTTACGACAGACATGAGCTACACTGGGACTATTCTTTCATACATGGCACCTAATTTGGTAATGGATCATCTAACTTCCATTAATTTCCATTAATTTCTTTCCCCTGTGTTTACCAATCAGCTTCGTGTATAGTATTCTCATAATCTGTGATATTTATTTCGCAGCAGGAATTATTTGACTTCCCCAGAGATGGCTGGCATTGCTTAAGATATTCGCTGATCCATGCCAACATTTATTTTAGTCAATGTCTAATAATTTGCTTATCACATTATAAAAAAAAGAAAATGCACGTAGTAAATTCGTAAGGTGAAAGAATTTCAGAAATAATCAATGCTTCTTGAACTAAAACCGAGGTCATACAGTGAAATTATAAATTTTTACACATGAGTTTTGAAATTGGTCTGAAATTGTAACATTAAAATAATGCTGTTAGCTTAAAATTGTAGTTATGATTTATAGATCTGTGGAACTACTATATGACAGGCGTGGTTAAAAAACTTACAGACATCCAAGAATTAGAATAAGTATGCTTCAGAACTAAATAATATATTTTAATATTTCTAAAACTACAGTATCTTAAAACTTTATTTAACTTTCCTTTTGGACATATCCATTTAAAGAATTTAATAAATACGCTTCAAAGATATGAATTTATTCATAATTTGAATTCCCAATAAAATGTTAAGATTTCTCTAAACTTAAAATTTTTGTTCGTGGAGATTTCCTTGGGAAAAATAAGTATTTCAAGTGATTTAGTATGTATCAAAATAATCAGCAGGGAGTCCTTTTAGGATACAGTAGTAGAGATTTTATTGAAATTCGGCAGTGTGATGATAAATGAATGGAACGCGAAATTAATCATCCGAAGAAATCTCTGAAAAATCTAAATTTGGATAAAAATGAAGATGAGGAATGGTATAGAATAAAAGCAAATGACCCTGAATATCAACTTTTGAAACATATCATCTAGTCCTAGATAACAAAAACAGCGTATAGTGAATCTTTTTAGTTAAATAAGTATACCATTAAATACTATTGAAGTCTATAAATGCGTAGTGATGAAATGGTTTGAAGAACAAAACAAAACAAAAAAAAACAAAAGCGCGAATTGTCTAATCAACGAAATGTTATTAGTATATATAATATATATATATATAATATAATTTGTAATAATAAATTCCATAGGCAGAATACACTTAAAATTCTAACGTATTTTTTCATTTAATGGCACGTCTCTTATTTGAAAGTACGGGATTAAATCCTCAGCCCGTAGTCAACTGTTTTTCCCGCTTTTCTACACTACAGTTATAGAATGTTCTGAAGTATTCAAAGAGAACGGATGGCTGACGAGGCACGTCATTTCTTGAAGCCCGCCTTTCAGAGGCTATAAGGACTCGCAAAAGGATATGGGAGCTTTTTTAATGTCACGGCAGTAACTCATAAACTTATTAGTAATTTTTTTATTTACTCGGATGGATTTTTGTAACTGCTATTCTCCTGAATAATAATGGATCCGTTTTTAAACTTATCGTCTGATTATGGGTTTGCGGCCCCAACTTCACGCAACAAATAGTACTGCTATGAACTGAAAGTACACAAACTCTTAAGAAGGGTTAACTCCCTTTTTTATCCACTTTAGAAGTTCCATACGTGCACTTGACGCTACAACTCGCCTACCGGCGGTAATAAAGTAAGAACTAAAATAAATAACGTACTACCTACGAGGCTCTCTAAACGTAACTAACCTACGGCGTTATAAGATATAGCTGTATTTCAGCAAACTTCTGAATTTAATTAGAGATTCAACGACTGCCGGCAACAACAGGCCAAACGCGGGTTCTTAAAATTCTACTAGCAACCTTCACGCTCATGACGCAAGAAAGCACACCTGCAAACTCGTTTCCTTCTATTTAACTCAAAAATTCCGCTGAAAATTTGAATACTTTGCGCTTCTAAGAAAATTACAACCTGGCATGGCATTCAGAGGAAGTAGCTTGACAGGAATGTTTTAAAATAAATGTTGTTAAAAAATAAACCCAACAATTTAGCTACGACTAAGCTGATAATCAATATAATATATATATATATATTTACAAAAGAAATATTGATTATTTTATCCTTATATATGTATACCTGCCAAAGAATATATACAGATATTTCTATATGCATGTCTAATGAAGCTTTCATGTGAGGAGTCACAACTGTCATAATACACATTTCTTTGCTAGGCAACTAGGCCTTGATACGTCACAAAGAATGGTATAATAATTTTCTCCATTTCAGCTTTTCCAAAGAGAGCATAAAAATCCACCAGTCGTAACGAAGCTAATAAGAATTCTGGTCGACAATTTCGCTGTGTTACTTTAAGATTCACGTATGCGCAACTTCCTTGACTGGTTATCCTTTGTTCCAAGGATGTGAACGAAGTTACTAATTTGTGCCCCTTATGTTTGTGAGAATTGTGGCACCTAAACCATCGTATCAACGCTCCATAAGAGTCTTAATACATATTTCGGCTCCAAATGAATGTCTAACTGAGGTCACGATAGGGACCGCATAAAACATAACAAATTGTTGAAAAATAAAATTATTTTGTTTTAACTCTCCCCATAGTCTCTTGTGGCCTTTAAAATAGCATTGCGCTAGTCTGGAATAAAATTTACATTATCAACTCAAGCAGCGAAAATGTTATTTCGATGTATCAGAGTAGGGTACGGCCATTTCAGATCTACTGCACTTCAAAGAAAGTATATCTTCTTAATTCGAAATAGCAATATTTCGTTAACTTTTCCGTTTTGAATTCTTCCTATTTTTAATAAAAGTGCAATAAGATAAAAATCCGCTAAATCTTCTTCACTAACTTTAGCTCTTTTGATGTTATATATGTTTTTTAATTGCCACAAAATCCCACTGATTCTTCTTTCGCCCGTATCA